GGGATGGTTTGGCTAGTCGGCAAACTTCAAAGGCCCTATGAAATTATGTGGTATGCATGAAAACACGGAGTCGGAGTTCCGGAGCACGGAGTCCCGGAGTACGGAGTCCCGGAGTGAAGTGTCTAAAACTTTAAAACACGGAGTGGTAAAAACACGGAGTCGACGTAAAAACACGGAGTGGACGTAAAAACACGGAGTCCACGTAAAAACACGGAGTCCACGTAAAAACACGGTTTTTACTCAATATTTTTATTCTATATGTGGTTGCAGGTATTCAGACCCTGTGGAGATAGCTATGCCCTTATTGCAGGGGTGTTGGAGGACGCCTTTTGAAGATGAGATGATTGGCAATGTGGCAATGATGATGATCATTTCCCCCGGCACGCTCCCATGCCGCGCTTTATATAATTTCACTAACGGGAATACACGTGGGATTGAATACCACATTCGAACTATCTCACAAAATCACCACATATTCTACAATACATATAACGAAATCATATAAAATGTTACCAATCATCAATCTTCATCATTGCCACATTGCCAATAATTTCATCTTCAAAAGGCACCCTCCCCCCTGCAATGAGGGCATAGCCATCTATCTCCACAGGATCTGAATACCTGCAACCACATATAAAATAAAAATATTGAGTAAAAACCGTGTTTTTACGTGAACTCCGTGTTTTTACGTGGACTCCGTGTTTTTACGTTGACTCCGTGTTTTTACCACTCCGTGTTTTAAAGTTTTGGACACTTCACTCCGGGACTCCGTACTCCGGGACTCCGTACACCGTAACTCCGACTCCGTGTTTTAATGCATACCAAATTATGTTGATTTCCGACAAAAAATAGGTCACGTGATGCGATCACTGCATCACACAATGCGTTTTACTATAAAAACAATAAGCGGTATACACAACATTACAAATTTAAAGTCATTTTTGAACCCATTTTCCGTTAAAGTATTTTTTCAACGTTTATAGACAACCATCTTGTTTCAACTGTGGCCCCCAAAGAGATTTTACCGAGCAGGAAGCTCAAATTACAGTATATAAACCACGCAAACCCCGAGGGTATTGTTTTATATCGGTGTTAGATTTCGATCAAAAAGCCACTTTTTATCGAAAGGTTGCAATTAAATGGCACTATCAAGCGAAAGCGAGTCCGAAATATATTCAGAAGATCAAGAATATGACTTATATAACTTAGAGGTAACTGTGGCCATTACTGAGGCCGAAGGAGAGGACATAGAGGACGAGTTTACGGACGCTTTGAGCGAAATACATGGCAAGAAATCGTTTCCCTGCGCAAAATGTGAAAAAGTGTCAAAAGGCGGCTTAACAAGACATATGAATGCAAAGCACAAAAAAATAACAGCTAAGCAGACATCGCCAGAATTAGATCTTTTTTGCCCGGACACACTTGCGTCAATTGTCGAGTCAATAAAGTCTCAAATCCTTCGTGAGAAATTGTATGGCTCCAAAATGAATGACAATGTGAAGGCTGCTTCGTCCTCAAGCTTTTTATGATGCACTTTTCCCGCTGTATGCGAAATTTTGCAAAAAGAAGAACCAAGATCAATTGGTCGAATCGTTTTTTGGATTGATGCCACAGTCTACACAATTGTTAAACAGTGATGACTACAAGACTGCAAACCTTATGATGATTCACGTTCCAGACTACCTTGTTGGTTTTTACAACACAAATCGTGGACGAACAGAACGTACGGAAACAGCTCAAACATCACAAGCTTTACAGCCAGATGTTAAATCCCTTCACCAGGCAGAGCGTGGACCTTTGTCCTATGTCGCAGGTTATGTCGAAACTATTCCAAACAAGTAAACGTAAGAATGGAGAACACAAAGAGGAGCTGAACTAAGTGAACTTATTATTGCAAAGCATGAAATCATGTGACATGTCAAGTTTTATTGCTTCTCGTACCAGAGGTGGATTGGTTAATCCATCTGGGAATATAGTTGGTATTTTGGAAGAAGCTGAAAAAACATTTGGACAACAAGTTGGTGAATCAAAGATGACATTGAGACAGATACCAGTTGAAACCATCTGTAATATAACATTATAGTCATCTAAGGTGAAGTCCTTATGGGAGAATATTGTTCCCTCTGCTGGTGTTGACACAGTTAGTCAAACACAAAAGCTGTGTTTGGAAAATGTAATTAAATTATATTTAAAGGTTAGGTCTTTTTCCTATGCAAGGGACTACCTAAGCAAACATAAAATCAAAGAAAAGAAAACAAGGCACGATTGACGATTCAACTGTTTCGGAAAACTATACAGAAAGAAGATCAGAGTTGTGCCCACCTGGCTGTTAATGAAGTTAACGAATGGTCGAAAAAAAATCTTTTCCAGTTAAACTGGGACAAAACAAAAGAACTTGTTATCAGCTACAGCAGACAAAATAAAGAAGAAATTTGTCCACCGGTATTGATTAACGGTCAACCAATCAGAAAAGTAACAAGTGTAAAACTCTTGGGATTAATGCTCAACTCGCGCCTTACGTGGATTGACCATGTCGAATATTTAGTGAAGAGTGCTTTCCAAAAATTTTATTTCTTGATCCAACTTAAACGATCTGGAGTAAACACTGCCGATATAGTACAATACTATTGTGCATGCATACGTTCAACATTGGATTATGCCTGTCCCGTCTTCCATCATGCCCTCCCAATATATCTGAGAGAAGAACTGGAGCGCATCCAGAAGAGAGCGTTGAGGTGTATCTTTCCGGGTGTTTCGTACTCTACCGCCCTGGAGTTAGCCAATATTCAAACCATTGACGATCATCATGAAGCGCTCACCAACAGACTATTCCAAAACATAAAGGAAAGCCCAGATAATAAATTGAAACATCTACTACAGGAAAGTCATGTTCCTAAAGCTTATGACCTGAGGGTACAATACCCCCTAGTAGTACCAACAACTACTACTAAACGATTCTCCAACTCATTCATAATTGCTGGTAGTAAAGCATATAACCAGTTGTATAAGAAATGTCCATCTTAGGCTAATGAAACCTTAAACGTCCTATATAAGGAATTTTGTCAATATATTTATGGTAGAATTTTTAAAATTGTAGCGTAACCAAGAATCTTATACATGTAACTAATGAAAGCAGAACTTTTTATACTAGAGTAATTATCCTATATAAGGACTTTCGTTAACATAATTATAGTAGAACCTTAAATACAGTAGTGTAATTAAGAACCTTGTACATAAAATAATACAGAACTCTTTATTCTAGAGTAATCATCCTATATAAGGTTTTTTGGATTTATAATTACAGTGGATTTTTTAATATAGTAGTGTAATCAAGAATCTTTGTAAATATACTAATAGTAGCAGCTTTACTATACTAGTGTAACCAACCCTTGTAAAAAGTCACGCAATTCAGTTTCCGCTGCCATGTGATTTTAATTTTAATAAATCAATCAATCAATCAATCAATCAATCAATCAATCAATCAATCAATCAATCAATCAATCAATCAATCAATCAATCAATCAATCAATCAATCAATCAGGCAAAAATCATTAAGAAAAAACTTGAAAAGATCAGCTGATCCAGCAATATAAATGAATATGGTTTCCCAAAAATGTACATACATGTATATAATACTTTATTAAAATTTCTTTTAATGTTTTCAGGTGTTTCAATTTGAATACTGAACTGGGTTATTTATTAAGTCTTGCTGTTACTACATGCAAACAGGGCTAGCTATGGAACAGCACAACACCCCCAAATGAAAAATCGACATACTAACCTATGACAATATGTAAATTTTAATAATTTTTTGGCAAAGAAGTTCCATTTTGACCCATAACACTGAACTCTCATTTCCCTGGACTCTCAAAAGCATTAATAGAACCTCTTAAAAGTCATACATAAACAACAATTTGACAGATTGAGAACCTGATTAGAACAATTTGACAGACTGAGAATATTCTATATTTACAATAGGAAAGATATTATACCAATAATAGCCAGAAAAAAGAATTTCAGTCAGAAATTGACATCACATACCTAGGCTGTCCAAATAGTACAAAGTAATTATACCTTTCAATAATGCATGTGACATGTGAATATTAAAATAACCTAATAAAGGTCTTTTTGCTTTTTGATATACCATAATTAATAAAACATCAAATTTCTACACCAATGCTTTTGATTGCATTCGGGTTAGGTGGAGTCATAATTGAGGTATACAAATAAAAACCTCACTATGAGATTGTGTGTACAGATTCATACTAAGGCTTTTCTGGCTCTAGACCATTTCAGCTTACATGCAAATTAACCCATTTCATATGTTGTGACTATGGAATAATCAATAAAACATAACATTTCAGAACATTTGATTTGAAATTGGTTAATTTGCATACCATCCGAAAAGGTCTATTGGGAGCTTAAATGAGAATATTCAACTCTTTTGTCTTTCCTTTTGTTCCAATAGCCCTACATTGTTAAATTTATACCACTATTAGTTCAGTCATGTCACTTTTTTGGCTTCTTTCTTTTCTTCACAGGTTCATCACTAACCTGAAACCACTTCTTCTTTCCATACCTACCACCAACGTTTCCTCTGATAACAGGTGCAATATCTCCCTGTGCGGCGATGGTCAGGTCAATGTAACTAAACTGCTGGGCTGTGGGATTGTCAGAATGTCCTCCTTTAGCTCTTTGATGTCCAAAGTAGTCCTCTAGAACATCCTGCATGAACCTTTCGCTGAGGACATATTGAAACCCTTCCGCAAGCAAAAACTGAATGGCCTCAATATGGGAGTAAACAGAAATTTTCAAGCCTTTATAGGTCTGAGTGGAAAGAAACATCTTTCCTCTGTCATCTGCAGAATAATTCCCCTCTCTCTGCGAGGTGCTCTCTCTCCAATCATTCAGATATTGCAGGAAGACATTTTCAACCATGTAAATCTTTCATCATCTTGTGTTTTATAGGGTTTGATGAGATGATTTCTTTTCCTGACATGTTAAGTCAAAAACCTTACATTTGTACAGTCAAAGAAATCATTCATCATCCTACAAAATTGGGCTGTACCTGTTACATCTTCCTTCCCACTTTCCTCTAATGCAATTGCAACCGAGCGACTCAGGACTTGGGTTGCCAACTTTACCTTCATTTTGCTGTATGACGTAAGTACGATGTGATCAAGAGATAGTTTTGGCAAGGTGTGCAAAGCAAACTCTTGATCACTGTAGAACATATCTGCAATGTGTCTAAACAGAAGGTGACGACCATCATTCCACATAAATCGACTCTGTGAACCGGATCCCGAATTGTACAGACAATTCCGAGCAGTTTTAATGAGGTGACACGCATCAGCAAAGAAGTAGATGAACAGATGTGTAGCAAAGATATTGTGCACATTGTGAACCACATCAAGTTGCAAATCACTTACATACTTGGCATGAAGGTCGATGAACGTGCGATTTGGTGACGCTCCATCATTCACTGCAGCACAGACCCATAGGTTCAGAGACAATTCTAGGACACCAACAACTTTCCAGAAGAGAGGCATTAACTGGTAAGAGGTAACATTTTCAGTAAAATAGTATGCAATGACATGCTTGAGGTCACTGCACATTCCTCTCACCAGAAATGCCAAGGCATGGGTAGCAATAATATCCTCATCACCAAGACTAGCATAATTAGTCATAGGATCACCAAGATCCACAAAACCAATTAAGTCCCCAGAATGTTTGTCAAATGCAAGGTTGGACTGAATTTTCATCTCGTCCATCACTATATAACCACATAGCGCTGAATCCCGGAGAGTGATAATGCTTTCTCTTGAAGATTATCTATGTTTTCAATGTTTAAGCCTGCCTTAGGTTTAAAGTAATTTTTATAGTCTCGTAAGACACGTTCAGATGGCAAAATGAGAGCACCACTATCTCTGAGCCCACGGTAAGCTGCTGGAGACTTTCCATGCAAGGAGAAGGCAAATCGAATGATTTGAGGGTGATAACGCCGTCCAAATTTCTCACTTTGTAACAGTTTCATTTGCTGTTCCCAAAAGAATTTCATATGTGGTGTGGCTTCAAGATTTTGACCACCCGTGATCTTCAAAATGTCATTCTCCAATGAGCCACTGATTCCAACACCATCATCCTTTATTTTTGCTTCCAGTTCCTTTATCCTGCCTTCTAACTGTTTGCATTCCAGCCTTGATGCTTTCACTGTTGCTACCAACTTTTCAGAACTGCATGATGCAAGTGGAGCTTTACTCTTTGCTGGGGCAAATGTTGTTTTCTTTTTTCTTTTAGCATCTTTCTCAAGAGTAGAAAGAGCTTTGGCACAGGGATTGCAAGGTTGGTCTTTGGGGCTACCAGTTGCAATGACAACTTCACATCGAGGGGACCGGAAAGACACACATGCTTGAAAATTGCTCTCCAAAATGCATTTCGGAATGGAATGTCGAAGAACTGTAGACTCAGGAAATCCAGACAAATCAACTTCAGATGTCGGGTCGACCACAACGGAGTTTGTAACTTCGTCTTGCGGTAAGCCTTCACAAAGCTCAGAACTTTCTACGAACCTTAGCAATACTTTGCAGTCTTCGATTCCCCATATGCGACGCTTTCTCTCGAGGTATATGACGTGCGTGTCCGGAATAGGCCAGTTGAATGCAAACACGGTAAATTGAAATTTGATGCAGGGAACGCATCACGTGACCTATCAACACAAGGTTGAATAACATGTTTAGTCACGTGATACAACTAGCCAAACCAGCCCACTCCATTAACCGTGATTGTGTGAGTTGTATGTATATATATTTACTGCGTCGCGCACTGCGCGAACGCAGTCTTAAATTGCCGTCGGTGTTTTTTTTTTGTTTTTTTTTACGTTTTCGACCCGGTCTACCTGGCCGCGCAGGCCAACTAAGATACTCGTATTTTGAACTCGTTTGATTTCGTATCGAAACATTTTCGTGCTAAACACACTTCAAATAGTAATCTAAGCCTAGTAACCTCCACAAAAGAAATATTTTACTGAAAGGGTATTGGCAATAAATTTTTTTATTCTTGATATATCAATTAAGCATATCAACGGAATACTTAATTTCCTATTTCTACTTGTCCATTGCGTTTAGTTGCTTAGATATATGCGAAAGCATTTGACAGTCATCCGCCATCTTGAAAAAAAACCCATATGCTAATTTATGTGAAAATAAATTTGTTACGTCAGGTGCAGGGGAAGCAGTTTTACAATAGTATGCGTGCAAGCACGTTCTAAGATGAGTTTGACCAGAAACAACAGATAAACCATTTTTTTCCTTCCAATTGGATAAAAACTGAGCGCTACTACCCTACTGTGCGCTTTAATTGTACATTTAAATATAAACGCGTTTATTTCGCCGTCGTAAAAGCGCTGATTATCATTATAGCTCAGTACTATGCCAATTAATTTACGCCTGCTCGTCTAATTTGTACTTGGAGAATTTTTATACTGATCTCGAAGTACAACGTAGTGACCGTACACGACGATCAGGAAAAGGATGTACATTTACTCATTATTCACTAAATGCCTATTTATTTCGCTTGTGTCGAATTGAAGTCGAGAATTTAACCGACATCATCAAGGAATAAATAACATATCACTCATACCAGCTATATACTGGCCACATTGGCCTCGATAGGACTTGTTCATGTTGCCGCTTATTACTGCGCAACACAAAAACAAATTTGTCCTTTTGGTATCCTACTAGTATATCTATAAGTATGTTTGTGCATCTTGTTAAGGTTAATATAGGGTCAGCATACACAGCATCTTTTCAGTATAAGAAATTCAGACTACTAAAATTGCGCTACGAATCAAGTTATACAATTGGATACTGACCCTATGTAAACATGACATCCGTTAGTCAGAGCACTAACTCATGATATTACCAGTAAAAATGTTTAGAAATTTCATCAATATGACCTCCAACTCAAGCTTACGTCAACTGTAAGACCATTTTTATCTTGTAAATAACATTTATAGATTTATAGATTTTGATCTTGTGAATAACTCTTTCATTTGCGAACATGCAATAACGTTCATTTCATGATCATGAAATGTTGCAAGTCTATCGCGGGAACCAATAACCATGAATGCGGTTTACGGACATTTAGCTCATCAAGCCTCATCGTTCTTGTCGTATTCCAACGCTTTTTCAGGCCAACATAACGATTTAATAGCCTTCAGACTCTCCAGACACCAAGCATTTTTAGCCTAAAACGCATGGTCGACTCCTCATCAGACGATTGACTCTCATCTATGAGTCACTCTACGCAATGCATTGCTTGGCTTTTCAACCTGATTTGGTTTCAAATTGATAGGGCAATACCTCTTCTATTTGTTTATAATGGTTATTTTACATTCAAGTAATTGAGAAGCGCGAAATCTCTTGAAAGAACTGCGACATCGCTAGATGCGCCTATAAAATATATTTGTTGTTGTTGATCTCTCACCTGACGTCACAAGGATCAAGTTACCAAAAGATAATTTTTTTGAAAATCCGTCCAAGATGGCGGCCAAACCGAATATTTACCATGAAATAACTCGAGAACAAAACAGTTTGGGTAAAAAATAATAACATATTCGTAATCAGGAGGTCAAATTTAACTGATAGCAAAAATAAAAAAATTTATTGCCAATACCCTTGAAACAAAAAAATCGAAAAAGTTTGTTGTCGCCGGGATTCGAACTCGGGTCGTGCGAACTAAAAGCAGGAAACTGCAGGCACGATACACGTCATATAAAATAACACGTACACGAGTCGCTGTGCATGGCCGATAGCGCAGGAAATCTAGACGTTTGTTGTTCCAGAAAATACGTACAGGTAATCATAATGCTGGATTCTTGACTTGTCTTGTTTAATATGCTCACCCTGCATACACCAGCACACACTGATCATGGTAAACCTACACTAAGACAGGTTTACAGACAACGATCACATGAATCAAGAAAGCCTTTTATGCCATGAAAACCTTGTATGCTATGAAAGCCTTGTATGCCATTCTATGCCATTTTTCAATCAAACCGCACTTTCCTTTCAAGGGTAAAAACGGCCAGACCAATCCTATTGAATTTCAGTACAAACTGATTCCCAGAGTACATGATTCCAAACTCAGCCATATTCACGTATATCGTTAGCTACATATGCCTAGCACCAATAATGCAGTTTTACCCGTATATTCTGTACGAAGTGCTCTATTTACTAGAAAACCTAAGAAAGAAACATTTTTCTAAAGGAATAAATATTGACAGGAAATGGGGCGAATATTTATGCGAAACAATACGCGAACTGTATTGTTTATGTTCAGAAGCTCTATATTGAAGACTGGCACGTGCGCCGGAGTTAACGCCAGAACGGCGTCTTGTTTAATTAAGTGACTATAAATAGTGTTGAGTCAGATTTCTTGTAAAAATTAATATGAAAATTTCAGTCATAACAATTATCTATTTCGTTTGGTGAACATACAAATAATTCGTTAGTGTGAATATATATGAAAAACTGGATATATATACATGAAAGACCGAAAATTTTAAATCCAAAAATATGCCTGGATACACAAAAGAATAAGAGAACAAATGTAAGAATTACAGACTCGATCTAGTCTGTCCAATCAATGAATAGCCTGCTTACTAGAAATACATGCATGCAACAACCCCTCGCCATTTCAAACGAAGCAAAATATTTCCTGAGCTAGCCAGACCTAACCTTCAATACTATGAAATGTCCTAAATGTAAAGCCGATAGCTAATGTTTCAAATATTTCGGAAACAAAGACAGTCGTAAAGGTGAAGTGAAATCACCCGTTTTCCTGCTGTTTTCCGTTGCATTAAGTTATAGACTTTCACAGTTTAAGTGAGAGTTAATACTTCATTATAGCTAAACCTTCAAAACATCAAAACAGGCCAAAAAATATAAATAACCAAGCAGTGGACGTCGAATGTTGTTTTTCGATTGTTAAATTCATGCAGTGATTACAGTCGACTATATATAAACCTTTAAAGTGATATTTGTGATATTAAAACACCGAATTACACTTTTAAGGACTCTTTTGGAAGTTAAAACGATGATGTATAGTCGGTCACGTCTTCGCAAAACCGAGCAAAACGACATACTGTACCAAGGTCATAAAATGTATTCGTACAGCAAACACGAAATAAACCTCGAAATAAACAAAATAGACTCCTACCATTTCAAGGATTATAATCGAGTTGTTCCTTTTCACTGCTAATTCCTCCAGTTCTGATAATATTTTAAACTCTTTCCAGTGTTTTATATGTTATTTGATTCCACATTTCATATTTTGTTTTCGAAACATTTTTTTAAAAAATAGTTTGCAAAATGACAGTTAAATTGCTGACGTTTTCACTGAAACACAAACGTTTCGTCTTAGCCAATCAGGAAGTTGCTGATTACCAGTCTACACTCGTTCGCATTTCGCGCATGCGCACAAGTACAATGACCATTGAACGTCCATGACATTTGGGCAACTTTGGATTCCGCTATGTTCTCCCGGGTCCCGGGTGTAATTCCTAATCTCCGGGCGGAATTAGTACCCTCGCACGGTGCTCCGCACCGGCTCGAGGATAATATAATTTTTTATGCTCCTTTTATGTTCAGTCTTTTTTAACCAATGCTATTAATGCCTAGAGCATACTTTCATCCCTTTTCTTCTGTGCTCTAATTCTTCCCTGCGAATCTCGATCTGCGTTCGTTTCATTTCCAGCTCTTGTTTTTTAATTTCGTTGCTATACTCGGTTGTTTTGAGCAAGTAATCCACCACACTGCTTCTACGCTTTTTAGCTGAGCGTGGCGTGGCTAATGACAAACTGCCATTTGCGTCTTCTCCGATTGCCCCCTCTGCACGTTTTTTGGTTTCTCGAAATGTCTTTATATAGCCGTTCATCTTATCTCTTCAGCTTCCGTAGCATGTTTCGAGCATGCAGCATCCTTGGCTTCTTTAAACCTTTATACAAGCAGTTTCTTCTTGACTTTCAAACTGGCCTATAACATCTTCCATTGCCGTATCAAATTCAGTTCGCTTTGAGTTTCCCAAACCGCTATTGTGTAAAACTGGACTTCGATGCAGCACTTATAATTGCTATCTGGTACTATAAAACCTATAAAACCATTATGTTAATTTTGATGCGTTTCTAAACTATCAGAGAAATAACAATTAAACGATCTTTTTTCGTCTTGTTTCAGCCATAACATCAAAATCAAATTTTCACTTCGCTGCCGTGTGAAAACGTTGCTTGCTATAACTATAGACGAGATGACAACCCTATTTTACGCACGTATATACCTCTGCTTTCACCATTGTTATTCATGCACTAAAGGCTGCTTTCCTCTTACGCGTTTTCTTTATGGGAGAAAAATTTACATGCTTCCAAATTTTTACTAATTTTATTAAAATCTGCGGGAAAATAAGTTATTTTCATGGATTAATATATATCAATTGTTCATATGCGTCAGAATTGTTTTGCCCAGTAAGGTGAGGGCACAAATTGCGCCATCTATGATAACTATAGCATGCAGAGATGGAGAGGAGGTGGGCTTACATAAAAAAATTTTGTTTGTCAGTTGACTTCAGCGACCGATTCCTCTATAGCCTATGCATGGCTCCTCCGTATCAGGATATCTGACGGAACGCTATTCCTCGCCATCTTTACACCTGCCTAACACTAGTATGTAATCCTGATGCTATTCATATCGCACTAATGATTCTTCCCTACATGCTATTGTTATTTGACTCTCACATTTGAACGTTAAAAGATGAAATAAATTAAATCTTTGTTTCAATAAACTTCCATTACGCCCAATGGCATTTTGTCATTGCTGTTATTGAAATTATTGAAGCGCACTATTAAGTACGCAATAAGTGTTATCCAGTATTGTTTTTCCCTAAATGAAGGGCAAATGCTGCATTCAAAATTATGGCCAATCAACATACAGAAAGCAAAAAGAATTGCTGAAGTTAAATTATTATAAACTTCAGTAACTTAAATTGTACTATTTGCCACTGAAATTGCTATGAGAAACATTTACATTTTAGTCCCATGTTATTTACAGAAGACATATATAATTAATAAGCAATAAAAAGAATTAAGTCGTGCAATTATTTCCAAACTAATTCGTTTGATTTTGGCATTAATTCCAAGTCTAAATCCTTATTTATGTCATATTTGAAAAAAAAGATATTTGCTAGCAAATAGGAATCTTATGTATTCCGTCCTGTGCTAATGGGTTTGAAGTAATTTTGGGTTAAAGGGACAAGATAGCAATAAAAGGAAAACCCATAGATCATTTAAATAATAATGTATTTTAAATTTAACTTCTTTTTTACTTAATAAATACCTAATAAATTAATTCTGCTAATATTTTTCATCCTACTAAACTGGTTCTCCACAATATATATATTTCATGTTACACATCATATGCAATTCTAATTAGATTTCTGGTATCTATCTATATATCTATCTGCGGCCAACGTTTTTGCAAACGGGTGTATATATATATATATATATATATATATATATATATATATATATATATATAAATAAATATAATATATTATATGTAGGTGTATTTGTTCTTCTGCACAAGCACAAATACACCTTACATATATATCCACAAGTGAACACATGGCTCAATTGAGAGCAAAAGTACATAAATATATATATATATACATATATATATATATATATACATATATATACATATATATATATATATATACATATATATATATATATATATATATATATATTATATATATTATTATATATATATATATATATATATATATATATATATATATATATATATATATATATATATATATATATATATATATATATATATATATATATATATAATATATATATGTATATGTATATATGTCCATGTGCATTAATGTATAATAGATACTCGAAGTCTAATTAGAATTGCATATGAATACATTTGCATGGGATTTCAATCATATTACACAACATATGCAATTCTAATTAGATTTCGGGTATCTATCTATACATCTATCTGCGGCCAACGTTTTTGCAAACGGGTGTATATATATATATAGGTGTATTTGTTCTTCTGCACAAGCACAAATACACCTTACATATATATCTACAAGTGAACACATGGCTCAATTGAGAGCAAAAGTACATAAATATATATATATACATATATATATATATATATATATATATATATAATATATATATATATTTTAATTATATATATAAATATTTATATATATATATATATATATATATATATATATATATATATATATATATATATATATATATTATATATATATATATATATATAACATCCTTTTTGTTTAGGAAGACGATATACATAAATTAAATATTATTAATAACTATCAATATAAAACTTTCATGATGATGGATGCATCATGATAAATCGTGTTGATAACGCCTCATCAGTGCAGGCTGTGCAGCTTAATTTGTAAACATGATTATGCACGAGATGACAACCCTATTTTACGCACGCACCTTTGCTTTCACTAAAGGCTGCTTTCATCTTACGCGTATTCTTTACGCGCGGAAAGTTTTACATGCTTCCAAATTTTTTTACCACTTTTATTAAACTGTGCAGGAAATTAAATTAGTTATTTTGACTGATTAAGTTCCCTTTTTCAAGGGTGCATCTTAGAGTATTTGCCATTGATTATATAAGATTTATCATTGATATTGAAATTGTTTAATTAACATTTGAAAAGTGATCAATCTTAAAAACAATTATTGTAGCTTTCGCGTTATATACATGCAGTACAATAATAAAACAACTTTGTTTGTTTTGGTATATATAAATTAAATATTAATAATAACTATCAATATAAAACTTTCATAGTGATAGATGTATGTCAATGAGAATAAAGTGACGCAGGTGTTCTGGAATATTTCTTTCCATCTTTCCTCATTCACAGACGTACAATACTTTTCAACTCGTGTGTTGCCAGTTTCACTGCGTGGACTGACGTTCAATCGCTCATCTCAAGTTTAAAGTAACTGAACTGAACGAGTGCCAATGTATATATAATATTGGTTTATTTCTTGTTGCTGAAAGATATCGATTGCAACACCACAGCATCGAAATCATCTTTTGAATATCAAAAATATTTCAAAACAGTGAGGAAAAACGGTGAGTAGCAATGTTGTGATCGATTATTTATTTGTTCGACACAATCCATTCGTGTACCATGTTTAATGGGACGGGAATAAGAAATAGTATTGTAAGAAATAGTATTTATTTTCGGTATAAACTTGGTATTTAGAATTTCGCAGTAAAATATAAAACAATATAGAAATTCCACAAAAATAAACATTAGTTAAATAAAATAGTTTCTACGTTTCTTCTAAACAATAGTTACGGCATGATCAGGAGAAAAAAGATGATGAAATGATATAATATCATGTATACAACTATATAAAGATATGGCATATTTATAAAAGAAAACATTCTCCTTGTTTAATTTATGTTACATTCAAACACGCGCGGGAGTTTAGGAGAACGCGAGAAATAATCTGCACGTTGGCTGGCAGTAAGATTTAAAACAATATAGAGACCCCGCAAAAAATGAACGTCATCAGTTGAAAAAAATTTCGTCTCGTCTAAACAGGAGTTACGGTATGTTTAGGAGAAAGACAATGATGAAATGATATAATATTATGTATGCAAGTATATGTAGTGAAGTAATAGTAATAGAGCGTGTTTTGCATAAAGTAGATATGCCCGAAATAATGTACCGATTTTGAAAAGTGATATCTCCCTGGATATTCCTAAAAATTAGTACTATAAGTTCATAATATACTTAAATCTAAGTCAGTCTTTCCTCTAACTAATGAAAGTTTTTTTATTTCGATAAGAAATAAAACTATTTTTGAATGAAATTGGTGCACTTTTTTGGGTTACCTGGTAGAATATTAAGCACATAAAGGCTTTCTTAGCACAGAAGGCTCATAATAACATTTTTACTGAGAATAATAAGCATGTCCGCAGCGTTCAAAGCAGTTGATCATGAAATCCTCATGGATTATATGACAAGATCTAGACGTTTGGTATAATTTTTTTTACAGGCAACTGGTTAGCAACTGACGATGTCATATCAAGTTATGTTGTTCATTCTGAAATTGAATGCTCCTTAAAGTGCCTGGAAGAACAAATGTGTGTGGCTTACAACTACAGACCTAAATTAGCACGAGATGAAATAAACTGTCAAATCAGCAATAGTACTTCACAAAAGGATGTTAAAGTTTTTGCAAAGGGAGAGTGGATACTTCACCAAGACTTGGAAACATTTTGCGTGAGTATATATACACAATTTACCGGGGTTAACGAAAAACGTATATACTTTTGCTTCTCGCATGCAATTGTCCAAAGATTACAGCTGTAAGTGAAAAATTGAAATTGCTATTGGCAACCATAGGTAAAAATGAAAAGTTAACATTGTCGAGGCTGCAGCTGTGATATGGCATGTTTGCTCGCTTTTGTTTGATAAGAGTTCCCCATCACATTTGTTCAATTAAACTTTCTCGTACAGAAACATAAAGATAATTGCCCCTATAAATGCACACAAAGATAATTTCCCGTAGAATCATTGGCGCCAATGTTTCTTTTATTTCTATAACTAGAATGGAATAGGAAAGATTAAGGGGTACGAGGGGTATGAAATCACAGGAAAGTCGGGCAATTTGTAATCCTGAATCAGTAAAGCAAACGTTGCTAAATCATTGGCCTGTTCCTAAAAAATGTCCTAATATCTTTCGTCATTTTAAAAATTAAAATGAGTGATTGATGTCACCTGCCTATATAATTAGGCAACCCGATTCTCGAAATTCTCGATTTCGTTTTTTAATTAATGTCTCTTTTCATCCCCTATTGCCATAATTGAATGTAACCCACATATAGGGTCCCGTTGAAGAAAGGCTAGCTTAATGAACTTTTCAGTGGTATTAAATAAATTATTATGAACACTTGTTTCAGAGTTGCGAGGAGAATCTATCTCTGGGGGAAACATTCAAAAACCTCTGTAAAGAACAAAATATCACCTTCCATTGTTATCACGATAAAATGGAAAGAACATGTCAACGTGGAATCTGTAAGATAATATAACTAGTTTTTCTTATAGTATAGAGTACATTCTGGTATATAGGTGTATTATTACTGCATGGTCATCACAATATTTGCAAAGTTTTTGCTAGCTGTAAGTATAGGCAAGCTAAATGAGGCAGCTAAATTTCCAAAAATTGTAATTTTGCAAATTAACATAACTAAGATGTAAAACGTAAAATGACCGCCGATTTCTATAACATAGTGTCATCTCTGCCGTTTTCTTTTCCAAATGGTTTCACGAAGTGACTCGACAGAATTTATTGGAATTGATTGCTCTTTATTGAAATCACTGAAAGTATATAAAACTCGATAGAACTGCCTTTTCAGGTTCAGGTCATTGTTTATGTGAATACAGTTCCCTGAAATAGATAGGCCCTTGTGGTCTTTTACATAAAAAAAAACGTAACCTTGTGTTTACTCTAACTATAAAGACACGTAAAATGGAGAATATGGAATGATTAAGTAGAATATAGAACGATAGATTTAAGTAGAAATAGAGAACTTAAAACATCTAGACTAGTGATCTGTAAACTAGTAATTAGTGATCTATTATGAGAGCTATTCGGATTTCGGGGCTGAACTATATTAATTTTTCTAATCACCATGATATATATTTTCTGTTTTAGACTTTTCCATTTATATTTCTGCTCACATCAAATGTTTATCGGTCAGTAGCAATGACATCGTTGTAGGAAAGCCCTGTGAGCCAAATGACGCAAAGCAAAAATGGTCGTGGATAAATGGAGGAAATCAACTCATTAACAAAAACTCGAATAAATGTCTGGATGTTGAAGGCGAGATTAAATTTAAAAGCAAGGTTCGTGTGTCTTGTTGTGATAATAGTGTACCTGGCCAACGCTGGTCATGTTCTGAAGACTTCATTCTGGTCGGTGGAACAATTTTTAGGTTATACCTAGGTACGAAGTGTCAATTATATAAGGCTTGTCTAGGTAATAACAATGGCACATGGAATCATTGGAAAATCTTCGGTACAACAGAAAACATATGTACTGCAAAGCCTTTAGGTAATTCCTAAAGTTTTCATTACTTCTGAACAGTACTTCATATACAATGCAAAGAAATGTAAGACAATTTTATAAAATTTATCTCCATTAATATATAAAGTACTTAAACTTAATTTATCCTTGGTCCGCGGCTGGTGGCTTATAGGCCTGATGGGTGTAGTCTGGGCCCTAACAAATTAAACTAGTTTGTGATTTGATCGTATACCTGGACTTTTTAACAGGAGAAAGTAGTAATTTGAATTTGTTAATTTAATTGTTGTAAATATGTTAGTGGTCAATATAAAATAAAAACATGTGTGTCGTATTTAATTTGTAATGCAGTCATAACTTTCTACATATTTTAGTCTGGTTACAAAAAAACACTACAGCACTCAAACAGCTTTGGTAAAGGTTCAAAACGATATCCTCCAAGCTTTGGACAATCAAAATGCATTGATCTTAGTTCTCTTGGCCCTATATATATAAGGTCTTCAGTTTCAAATACCGAAGAAAGGGCTAAGAGAACTAAAATCAATGCATGCATTTTGATTTTCCAAAGCTTGGAGGATATCGTTTTGAACCTTTACCAAAGCTGTTTGAGTGCTGTAGTGTTTCTTGTAACCAGACTGTAGAGATTCACTTAGATTGTTTCTCATGATGTGTTGATCCAATTGAATTGTCACAACTTTTTATAGACACAAATTTAAGGCTTGAGATCGGTCGAAAGCTAGGATATTCATCAGTGTTCATGTTATCTTTCTTCAGATTTGGTTTTAGAGCCGCACATTTTAGGTTTACAGATACAGTAACAGTCTCTAGTGAGTTGTTATTATATTCATAATCGGCGATAACAAATCATGCAGTCAAACATTCCTGCACGATCTTAGAAGGAACTGGATTCAGAACACATGATTTTTGGGCCATTTCTTTTATTATGACAGTCAGATCTTTAGTAGATGTGGGTAGCAAGAATTCAAATTCACCACATTTCATTGATGATGATGAATCCTATGGTGTAGATACATACAATACTGCTCAGAAGTAACTTAATCAAAAACGCGTTCCGAACGCGTTCCAGAACGCGTTCCAAACGCGTTCCAGAACGCGTTCCAGAACGCGTTTAAATCGTGTTCCAGAACGCGTTCCGAACGCGTCCTTGAACGCGTCCGGCACGCGTCCGGAACGCGTTCCAGGACTTTGATACAGTTTGAATGCTGTGTTGTCGCCGACAAGGAATGAAGTGCAGGTATGAACAAACATGCAATTGTTAACTGAAATAGCTTAGCTGAGAGCACGGGTCGATCATTATAATTCAGACCTTCGTTTCACAATATCGGAACCTCAACTATTTTAGCTACATTTATAAGGCACAGTATGACATGAATGAAATTCGAAATACGGTAATTACCGTGACTACTGTCGAATATAACCTCCTATGACAGAGCATGACGTGAGTTTTCGAGCTCCTCGTTTTTATCAAATATATACCATATAAAGTCTGTATACCAATCAAGAATATAGGTTTATACTAGCCAAAAGCCTTGTATTTGCTTATGGATAACAAATTAAGCGATAAGTTGAGTTTCGCTTGGACGGGTGACCTCGAATCATTAAAACTGTTTGTAAGTGAAAATCTAAAATTGGAAGGAATTTGGTCGCAGCCCGCAAGTGACAAAAAGCTGTTCACGTTTGATGACTCATCTATTTTATGGAGAAAGAACAAGAACCTGTTGTACTTTAATGGTGGAAAAGCGAATGTCATTATAAAAGAACTGTGTAAAGAGATCTGTAAACTCGACGAAGACGAATCGCTTATCTCAGACACCCGGCAATCAAACGTGCAATCAGCTGATGTTAGTGACGACCTTGAATGCATAAAAGTCGGCCAGAAAGTGAATGCTGAAGCAATTCAAGTATTATCGGGATCCATTTCTCACTTAACGTCAGTAATCTCACAATTTCAAGAGTTTATGGATAAAAGTAAAAATAATCTTAGCAAATGCGATGAAATTCGGGCTGAGTCAAGTGTTAATGCAAATACGCCAGCTTTCGACAGCTCTATTGTCTCGAATGAATTCACAAACCCTATTGAGAACATTGGGCGTGAAATTATTTCAGTGCTAAATGAGTCAACAGAGGATAACAACACGACCAGCGCTGAACAATTAACAAAAGACGGACATCAACCGACCTATGCAAATGTAGTGGCATCCCGTAATTGTAAAGACATCAATGAAAAGTCTGATACAGACAATATAAATACAACTGGTGATACTCCACAACGTAAAATCAATAATAGCATTGAGTCATCTTGCGTCCCCGAGGGCTTTATTGGAGTCAATAGAAAGCGAAATAAAACAAAGAAATATTTCCTGTCTGGTGTAGCTAATAACGTCAAAGAAAGTCAAATCCTCTCGTATCTTGAGCGACGAAACATAATTCCAACATACATTTCCGCTTTCCCCAGTCGACGCAAAAGAACACTATCAGTTAAGATCCATGTTCCCTCAGCGGTCAGTTAACAAGTGCTAGAAGATAACGTTTGGCCGAAATTCGTTAGTTGTAAACCATGGCGACCGAGAGAAATTGTTAAGAATCCCTCAGAACGGAAAACAAATTTGACCCTCGACGGGAACTACTCTACGTATGTATAATGGCCAACTTAATACCAGTTAGAATTTCCTCCCGTAGTCGTGTGTATAGATCAAAGCAAAACGGGTGAAATGGAAATAATTTAATATCATTGAGGCAAAGTATTCCCGCTGATACTCCCATCCTGGAAAGTGGCATCGGCAGCAGTTCAAACTCCAGTATTACTTCACATGTAGACAATAGGAATCTATTACCTGCTCAAAACTCAGAATTTTCCCCAAGAATCTTATTGACTAACGTTATGTCCCTAGTCCCCAGGATTGACGAGTTACGTATTCTAACGTCTGGAAACAGTTTCGATTTAATTTTTGTTACTGAAACCTGGCTACGAGAATCCATTTGTGACAATCATGTGACCTTAACTGATTACCACCACTTAAGGCGAGACCGCGTCTTCGGCACCCATGGCGGCGTTTGCGTGTAGATAAAGAACTCTATTATGTTTAAACGACTACCCGACATCGAACATCCAGACTTTGAGGTATTATGGACACATGTTAGGCTACCTAGATTACCAAGAGGAATAAACTGTATCGTTTCAGCATGTGTTTACCACACACCAAGTTCTAATAATGCAGATCTCTTTGAATATCTATCTGAATCTTTGACACGAATTGATAGTCTTTTCCCAGGGTGTGGCATCATCATTGCCGGTGACTTTAACCAGTTCGATACCAGAGACCTCTGTCGTGACTTTCAGTTAAGGCGATTGGTAAACAAACCAACGGGAGGTACCAATACCCTAGACCTCATACTTACGAACATGTACAAATTTTATGATACAAAATCAGCTATTGTATTGCTTCCTCTAGGTTTATTAGACCATAATGTAATAATTGTTGAGCCCAAAACTAGAAGACCTGTTGGTATCTCAAGTAGAAGAACCGTCATCAAAAGAGACACTCGTCAGTTACGTAAGAATGAACTTGGTCGTTTCCTGTGTAACATCGACTGGCATATTGTAAACTCAACCATATCCTGCGATGATGAATGTAATTTTTTATGTTCCATCATTAAATCTGGTTATGATACTCTAATGCCAGAGAAGCAGGTAAAATTCCATCACAACGACACTCCTTGGATCACAGAAAAATTGAAACAACTGATAAAACTGAGACAACGTGCTTTTTCGTCTAATAACACTTCACTTTTTAAATTCTATCGGAATAGAGTGAACAGAATGAGGAAATCCTTTAGGGGAAAATATTTTGCTACCAGAGTTGCCAATCTAAAAAAGTCCAACCCGAAATCATGGTGGTCGGAAGTTAAACGTATTTTGAGGTATGAAACCAGTAACCAGCTGCCTGCTGAATCAACTTCATATCGAGGATACAGAACATCTAACACATAAAGGTTTCTCAGATTGAATAGCCTATTAGAACCAATGAATTTTTACAGTCCATTAGATGCCTCAGACGTAGAAATCTGAAATGTTCGAAGGAATCCCTGACGATCCACCAGATTTAGATATGAGCCTGACTGATAGTGAAATGGTGTTTAAAAAACTGAAACGCCTAAATCCATCCAAAGCCCCAGGTCCCGATGACATTCCAAACTGGATTCTTCGAGATTATGCCGAAATCCTTGCCCCTCCTATATCAAACCTATTGAGTTCCTCTTACAAACAAAAGAAGCTTCCCTTGTCGTGTAAACAGGCTAATATAACACCCATTCCAAAGAAGAAACCTTTTAAGGACATAAACAAACACCTTAGACCTATATCGTTAACTTCTGTCCTATCTAAGCTTGCGGAGGAATTTGTCGTGGAAAAATACTTCGCCCCAGCTGTGCTTACGGTAATAGATCCCTTTCAATTTGGTGGCATCCCTCGATCTTCTGCTACCAAAGCTTTAATTTCTATGATTCATTCTTGGTCTCAAGCCACTGATGGAACAGGTAATGCAGTAAGAGTGGTATTATTTGATTACAAAAAGGCTTTTGACCTGATTGACTACAAAATTCTAGCAAAAAAAGTCATCAATTTACCTATGCCAACTTTCATCAAGTGATGGGTGGTCGACTTCCTCATGAACAGACAACAACGAGTGAAATTAGCAAGAGATTGTAAGTCCGAATGGATTGTTATCCCTTCCGGTGTCCATCAGGGAACCAAACTGGGACCCTGGATGTTTATTCTTATGATAAATGACCTCCGCCCTCCTCATTTCGAGCGTTGGAAATACATTGACGATACTACTGCATCAGAAATTATTCATAGAGACTCATCCAGTAATATTCAAGATGCAGTCGATTGCGTTCAAAACTGGTCGGTAGAAAATAAGATGCAACTAAATACCTCGAAGTGCAAGGAAATCGTAATCAGTTTCACTAAAGTTGAGAAAGATTTCCCTCGCCTAAAGATTAACTCAGGTCATATCGAAGTAGTCAAGCATGCCAGAATCCTAGAACTGACAATAACCAGTGAT